ATAATAATGCATAAAAATATAATATAAAACTATTCCGAAGAGCATACGGTGCAAAAATTGCCTCGATGTTCTCCGCAGATGGCGCGTTTGCAGTGCTCACAATAATTGGTTGTCATTCTTCGTAGACGACTAGGGCAGTAAAAACAAATTGTCCGTTTTCGTTCTAAGGGTTGATGATTTTCCTTGGTTTCTTGAATATTTAGAATCCCACAGATATATTGGCGAATGGTGCGCCGTAAATTTGGGATTGTCAATCTTTGTATCATCCAAAGTTCAACAAGGCTCTTGCTCAGTTCTAGCATAAAATGATGACGGGCAAGTGGTTTTTTATTTTCTCGGTATTTATTATAAATATATAAATGATCTTTTATTTCTACAATGTCATGTTTGCTCCCTGCTACAAAATATACGATATTTCGAGAAGCTGTTCTTTTCAAGATAGTTGGTAGTTTCGCAGACCACTTGTGACCATTTTTCCCCTCAAGTTTGTTTTTGTGGGGATAACAATATATTGGTTTTTACACTGCCTTTTTACTAACGGCTCATTATCATCAGACGAGCTTTCATTTGATGGTTCTTCCATGAGAGCTGGTTCGGGATGACGAATTTCTTCAACGGCATCCATACACATCTGTTCTGATTGAAGTAGAGCATTGCCATCATCACCATGAATATCATCCACACTGCTGTCATCTTGCGCTTCTAAATTGTCCTCTTCCCAATCACTTCCACTATCTTGGTATGGTTCTTCATCATCATCTCCCCAATCCCCGTTCATAATTTTTTGTACTTCTTCCTGCAGCTCTTTTTCCGTCAACGTTTTGTTCGACATTTTTCTATAATATGTTTTTTTTAATAAAAGGGATATATAAAACCTGGATTTCTTACCCGAAACCACAAAGAGAAAGTCTACCACCTGTCTAAAATATACGAACGGAAATACTAAAGCGTCGTAAATTTTACGATGTGTAGCCAAAATAACGTAAAAGATGATGTAGTCTGGAATAACTGTTCACACCGACTTCAACTATAAGACTAATTAGGAAGCTACTAGGAACGGCACGACTGAGATCGTTTCGAAAGTAAACGAATTCTAGCAGAATTGGTCGGCCGTCGTCAATTTTACGACCTATTAGTATTCTAGGGTTAAAATTGAAATCTTTAAGTAATGTTAAAATTTACTTTGGTTTTTATTGTAATTATTAATCGGAGTTAGTTTTTTAATCGATTTGATGTTTCTATAAATAAAAACATCGAATCAATCCGATAAGGTAAACATAGAGTAAATTCGATATATCGATGTTAAGTGAATATCCCTACTGTTGACAGTTTTGGTCAGCACAAGTAAGGTCAAAATTAAGCCGAATTTGAAGTTCTGCCTTAATGAGATCCATAGACATTCTGTTTCTTTCTTTACTGAATAGATTTGTTAAAAGATTAAACACGCGCTCGCGATAAGCATTACTAACAGGTATTGATAAAAAGAAAGAAATTAGTTTCTTTAAATTTACAGTCATTATTCTTTTCGTTTCTAAAAAGGAGCGCCCAAATATTATCTATGAGTTCCTTTGGCAGTGCATTATATACTTCTCAAACAAACTTAATCTGAATATAGTTTATATTCATCTATAGCATCTGAAATGTGTAGAACTGTAGGCAATTCAGACAGCTCTTCCCATGTTAATTGTAAATCTTTCAGTTTAACAGGTTCGCTGGGTTACCTGATATTTGCGTTTTGCAATGGGAGCGATACGGGTCTATAGAATCCCGTACTCGTGCTTGTCATCCAGCAATATGGGTTACATAATGTCCCGTACCTGTTGAATTAAAAAGTAGCCTCTATTAGGGCCATCTGTCAGTCAATGGCAAAATTAGTTCTAGAATTCTATACACAAACATTTGTTTGCTATTCAGCTGTAATAGCCTGGGATATATTTAACCAATATTGCCAGGACAGGAACAATAAAAACGTAAATTATCTGCACACAAATATATTTGTAAAATACCTTTATTTTTATTACTATTATGATAATGATAATACTTATTATGGAAAATAAATGGAGGGTTAAACAGAATATACACGTACATGAAAATAATTATTCATTTCTTTTACTTTCGTGGCTTACATCGAAGCAGCCTAAACAATATGCGGGTTTTCCATCGCATTCTTTGCAATATGTGGTTATTTTCTTGACTTTATTGTTAGCTTCTCTATTACTTATTGTTTGCCGTATTATTTTATAGCAACCGGTACACTTACACCTCTTGTTTTCCGGCCCAACTTCTGTTAGATATGAATCCTTTTCTAATGGATCTAATCTTGGTCGAAGCAGGACAAATGAGGCTTCTCTAAAATATAAAATAGCCATTTTATTTTTATTAGTTGAAAACTTCATGTTGTATAAAATCCATGCATTCGTTAATACACCTCCAAATATAATTTCCATGGCAACCTTACGATACCATTTTTTCCCCTTCCTCAAGACGGTTTAGTAGCGAGTCATTTGATCGCTAAAAATAATTAATAAGAAGCAAAATACATACAATGGACAATATAATTACCTATAATCTACTCCTTTTTTTTGCCTGGTTGTAGTCAATTATACATTGTGGTTTTTTGTCAGGCTCGCCATTTTTAATTTTTCCTGTTTCGACAAGGGCATCATCGTGTTTTTCACAAGTAGTATCATTAGTACCGGTCTCTTATCAACCCATTTTATTATTTTTATGCATATTATCATTTTTTGTTTATCCAATAACTTGTCCGTTTTTGATTTTTAACTGACTGTTTGTTCGGATAGTCCTTTTCTGCAAATATGTCCCTTCTCAAATAGGCAACTAACTTATAAGCAAGCCTCTGGAGCACATTGTGCTTCTCAACTTCCAATTGCAATCAGTATTACTCAAATGAGTTCATTTTGTTGAAACTTAAACTAGCTAGCTAATGGTACTCTCGAGCATGCTCATTCATACTTAGTTGTGCACATCAAATCATTCTTATACTCGCGTAGTTGTTCAGTCCGGACCATCTGTCATGATCACCCAGGGTTTCAGGTTATCCACGTCGGTCACCGAAACAGATTTCTTGGTGCCTCTTAGGTCCTCTATAACATCTATCGTTTGGGAGAACCTTTCCAACGCGAAAAGTCCCTTTATATAACGGATCCAGCTTACGACTTGACTCCTCAACACTATTTTGTTTGGGCTTGCATCTTTTTCCATCGAAAGATTTCTTTTGCTTTTGTTGCTTGTCTGTTACGTTTCCGCTCGAAGAGTTTCTAAATCGGCACGACCGAACGTATCAGACACGGCGTTTATAATTTAAGCGTCAGCCCAATGTTTTAAATTTATCCCCATCAATATTTCATAGGTTGATTTTCCTGTGGTTTTATTCTTCAGTTGTACCTCTGTAAGTAGAAGGTCCAACTGCTGCTGCATCGTCAAAGGTATCAATCCTAACCCCGTCTAAATTTGTCGCAATTTCACTCATTGTAAACAGGCGTTGTGTACACACTGTAAAAACCACCTGAACTTGAACACTCACGCTCGAAAGTAATTGGGGATGTACTCGGCATCGATCCATATATCTCTTCTAAGTTTGATAGTTCCATTGATTGCATTTAGAACCGCTTTTTGTACATGCTCGTCATTAACCGTAGCTTCCCGCATTTTTTTTGTATGTTCTATCTGTAAATAAGGAATTATAATTAGTGTTACATTTAACTATACGAAGAGGAGCACATTTGAACATAGCATTCAACTTGGGGCATTTATCTAGGCGGGACATATTTGAACATACAAACCTGCCCCCTTTGTTTTGATCAAATCTGCCCCTTGGAAATTCGAGAGATAAATATTTTATTACAAACAAAAACATATGAAACAACCGGCAAGCAAAAACTACCATGCGAATGAAAAACTAATAAGAACTAAATATGTTGGGGCCCAAATAGCCCAAGTTGATTATATGCTTAAAAGAATAAAAAAAATATATCACCAAAATTTGATGCAATTGATTTTCTTTCTTGTCAAGAGTAATAGGGAAGGAAAAAATGGAATGCGTTCGATAAATTGCTATTTGTGGTTCACTTAAAGAATTAATCACACAAAGTTATTAATTTTAATATAGCGAAATATTTAATAAATGCTACGGGTGCGAGAACTGAACTACCTACTATTATTTTATACAGGCCGATTCAGTCATAATGTCATTAATTTCAAACACGTATTTGGAAGGCCTAATGAAGACAGAATATCGAAAATTATTGACCAAGTCGAACACCATTTGTACCACCAGATTGCATCTTATAGATTATTCTCTGAAACAACGCCGATGAATGAAGGGCAGCCGCAAATACTCGTAATGTCTGTTCGGTGTTATAAATGCCGTTTTGTCTAGCGAATGCGAATGCATGGGAACTCCTAGTAACGCCTGTACTTTATCCCTTCCGTATTAGATCTCTTTCCTACTGATCTTGTGTCCCAAGTATTCAGTGTTACTTTGTAGGAAAGAGTATTTAGCCATCTTGAACTTCACGACCACCTACCATCAAGTCGTCAATGCGTATCACCATATTGCATCTTATAGATGACTCTCTGGAACAACGCCGATGAATTAGAGAAGCCGAAAGACATCCGCAGATACTCGTAATATTCGTCCGCTGTTATACTGCCGTTTTGTCTACCGAATCCGAATACATGGGAAAACTGAGAAACCTTGCGCTAAGTCAATTTGTGCTGAAAACGTTCTTATTTGCCAACATATCAAATTAATCAGATAACAGAGGGAGCGGACACCTATCTTTTACCATAATAGTATTTAATGCCCTGCACTCAATGCACATTTTAAAGCCGCCAAAAAAACACGACGTTAAATATATGTAATTGGACATTTAAATATGAACTATTTATAATTTTAGTAGATAAAATATTATTTAACGACTACAAAATATTATCACTTACATAAATAGCTATTTATAGATATGTTTTCTATTTTGCAGCGCCACGTCAGTACCCTGCACGGACGTCTTGTTAGAGGAAAGCAACGATGTGTGGGACATCCTCAGAGAAGAAAGCCACAATTTTTCAGAAGAAGAAGGCAACTCACACAGAAAGAGAAGTAGCTCATCTTTAGACTTTTTACCTGTTTCAACAGCTATGAAGATCCGGTGCGGGTCGTGCAGGAAAATCGTGAAAAGCGGCCCTAACTTCATGCACTCGAAGATCTTCTTTCGAGACACAGTCCTCGACAACACCTCCTATAAGTGCGAGACTTGTAAACGCGAAACCGTTGACTCGCTCTACTCGCCTAACCTAACCTACAACAATCGTTTTGAAGCGGTGAAGTTCAAATGTAGTATATGTATGTATGAGACAAAATACCGCAGTGCTCTCAAGTCTCATATGTTGAAACATAAAGACAGGTCGGAAGTTAAAATGTATAAATGCGACTACTGTAACTATGAAACCAGACACAAAACGGCATTGAAACCCCACATTTTAAAACACCAGGATCCATCGCAAGTTGAGATGTTCCACTGCGACTCCTGCGAATATCAGACAAGATACAAACCTGCTCTGAAGTCTCATCTGCTCAACCACAAAGACCCGTCGGAGATCAACATGCATTCTTGCGACATGTGCGATTACAACACAAGGTTCAAAAGTTCCCTCAACTCGCATATGCTCAAGCATATGGACCCGTCGGAGATTCAGATGTTTAAATGCGAGATCTGCACCTATGAGACTAAACATAAAACGTCGTTAAAGTCTCATATGCTTAACCATAAAGATCCGTCAGAGGTGAAGATGCATAAATGCGAAGAGTGTGACTACAACACTAAGTTTAAGAGTTCCTTGAAGTCACACATGCTAAAGCACAAAGATTCTTCTGAAATTCACATGTATAAGTGCGACTCCTGCGAATATGAGACTAGACATAAAAGCGCGTTGGCGTCTCACAGTTTAAACCACAAAGACAACTCTGAGGTGCCACTTTATCTGTGCAACTTGTGCCCTTACGAGACCAAGCGAAGGGCCAACTACAAATTGCACATCATGACCCATAAAGACCCCTCAGAAATCCAAATGTACACATGCGAGACATGCGGATACAGCACCAAGTACAAAAGCGTCCTCAAATCTCACAAATTAATTCACCAGGATCCGTCAGAAGTGGAAATGTACCGGTGCCACCTGTGCGACTACGAAACCAGACGGAGGCAAAATATAAAAATGCACGTTCTGACACATATGGACCCCTCCGAAATTCCCATGTACACGTGCGACCACTGCGAGTACAAAACCAAGTACAAGAGTGCTCTCAAGTCGCATCTTCTAAACCACAAAGATCCCTCCGAAATACAAATGTTCAACTGCGAGAGCTGCGAGTACAAAACAAAGTACAAGTTCTCGCTCAAATCGCACATGCTGAGTCACAAATCCGCCTCAGAAGTACCCACGTTCACTTGCGAGTTGTGCCCGTATGAGACCAAGCGTAAAGCGAACTACCACTCGCACATTTTAATCCACAAAGACCCGTCTGAGGTCAAAATGTTCGAGTGCGACACGTGCGAGTACAAGACAAGGTACAGAAGCGCGCTCAGCTCGCACTTGCTCAGTCACAAAGATCGAACCGAGACGCAGATGTACAACTGCGATGAATGTCCGTACGAGACCAAGTACAAAGGCGCGCTTAGGACACACAAACTGAACCACAAAGATTCTTCGGAACTGAAAACATACTCGTGCACTTTGTGCACGTACGAGACGAAACGCAAGATGAACTTCCATGCTCACAGTTTGAGCCATAAGGATCCGTCGGAGGTTCAGATGCACGCTTGTGACACTTGCGAGTACAAAACTAGGTACAAAAGCGCGCTTAAATCTCACGCCTTGGCCCACAAAGATCCCTCGGAGATTGAAATGTACAAGTGCGAGTTCTGTGAGTATCAATCCAGGTACAAGAGTGCGATTAAGACACACGTTGTGAACCACAAACAACCCTCGGAGATTCAGATGTTCAAGTGCGAAAGCTGTGAGTATCAAACTAGGCATAAAGGTTCGCTCAAAGCGCATTTGTTGAAGCATAAAAGTCCCTCGGAAGTACCTATGTTCACTTGCGAATGTTGCCCGTACGAGACCAAGCGTAAGACCAGCTTCAAGTCGCACATGTTGATGCATATGGACCCCTCGCAGATACAAATGCACGCTTGCGACAAATGCGAGTACAAAACGAAATATAAAAGTGCCCTTAACTCGCACGTTTTATCCCACAAGGACCCGTCGGAGATAAAGATGCATACTTGCGAGGTCTGCCAATACACCACAAAGTATAAAGGAGCGTTAAAGTCGCACATGCTTAACCACAAAGATGCGTCCGAGGTCACGGTGTACACCTGCGAGTTTTGTACGTACGAGACGAGGCGTAAGACTAACTTTCACATACATTCACTGTCCCACAAGCAACCGTCAGAGATACAAATGCACTCGTGCGACGTATGCGAGTACAAAACAAAATACAAGAGCGCTCTGAACTCGCACGCCTTGTCCCACAAAGACCCCTCGGAGATACAGATGTTCAAATGTCACACTTGCGAGTACGAGACGCGGTACAAAAGCGCTTTAAAATCACACGTAGCGAACCACAAACCCAACGAAGGGCAGTCGTACAAATGCGACGGTTGCGAGTTCGAAACCAACAACAAATCTACGTTAAAATCGCATATTATCACACATAAAGATCCGTTGGAGGTGGTTATCTACACTTGCGACTCTTGCAGCTACGAGACGAAGCGCAAAACTAACTACCAATCGCATTTGTTGATACACAAGGATCCGGCAGACGTTAAGATGTACCAGTGCGACGAGTGCGACTACGCGACGAAATACAAGAGCTCCTTGAAGTCGCACGTGTTGAACCACAAGGACCCATCGGAGATCGAGATGTTTAAATGCGACATGTGCAGCTACGAATCGAGATTTAAGAGTAGCCTCAAGTCACACATTCTCAACCACAAAGATCCCTCGGAAATAGACATGTTCAAGTGCGACGAGTGCGACTACGAGACGAAGTATAAGCGCGCGTTGTCTTCGCACAAACTGAACCACATGGACCCGTCGCAGATTCCCATGTTCAAGTGCGCGTCTTGCGACTACGAGACCAAGTATAAGAACGCGTTGAAGTTACACGTGGCGCACCACAAGGATCCGTCGGAAGTGGAGATGCATTCGTGCGAAAAGTGCGATTATAAATCGAAGTACAAGTCGTGTCTGAAGTCGCACATGGCGAAGCACGAGGAGCTTTCCGTCATTTGAGTCGCTTTTACGTACGGCGGAGCTGCAATGCGATTGGAGAGGTGGAAGCCGGAGATGAAAAACGCTTTTTGTCTCTTTGTTTCCAGCGGTTTACCGAGATGGAACTGAAGATTAGGAGGAATTATACCCACGGAAAGGGAAGAGTAGTTCTTACTTAAAGTGTAAAGAACTGAAATTTACTTGTATAGAGAAGAATATCGTTAATGTGTAAATAGTTGACGCTTAAATGCTTGTATTACATGGAGAATTACGGCAGAGGTGGGTGAAGTAGATCTAAAAAAAAAAAGAAATGTATCTGGAATGATAGGGACTGTACATTGATTTATGTAGGGTGTTAGGTAAATAACTTTCGTAGAAGTAACAGTTGATTCTTTGCATCATTTTGAAGAAATTTGGACATGTTAAAACTTCAATGGCGCCCAACTGTAACTCCGATCGTCACATTTCGAACTTCGAACGGAACTGTAAAATTTGATATTAATTTTGCAAATAAAGTGTATATGATATTAAAATAGCTGTTTGCAGCAAAAACGTCGGTTAATTGAAAATGAAAATCTTACCCAACGTGGTATTGTCAAAAATTGCAATAATAACACACACAAAAAAAGTCTACTTTTCATGCGACATATGTTATTTATAGTATTTTTGCCTCCTGATCACGAATCCAGTGTCAGAATTGAGCACATTACATGAATTTCCTAACCTCAAAAAACAGGTCAAAATAGCAAAAATTCACGAAAAAGTGCTAGGAAAAGTACAATTTTTTTTCTCTTCAAATGTTCATTTATATGGTTAAGATCTCGCCGAACGTGAATTCGCCGTCAGAATTGATGGTTCTTTTTCTAACATAAAAAAACGGGTAGGATATAACGAATTTTAAAAAAATAACAGATTTGAGCCAAATTTAGTATCCGGGGTTTTTCGGGGTCGCTGATCACGGATCCGAGGTGAGTTTTGCAAAATTCAAAATGTCGGATCCAAGATGGTCGACCAAANATTTAAAATTGAAATCCTTAAGTAATGTTAAAATTTACTTTGGTTTTTATTGTAATTATTAATCAGAGTTAGTTTTTTAATCGATTTGATGTTTCTATAAATAAAAACATCGAATCAATCCGATATATTGTAAGGCAAACATAGAGTAAATTCGATATATCGATGTTAAGTGAATATCCCTACTGTTGACAGTTTTGGTCAGCACAAGTAAGGTCAAAATTAAGCCGAATTTGAAGTTCTGCCTTAATGAGATCCATAGACATTATGTTTCTTTCTTTACTGAATAGATTTGTTAAAAGATTAAACACGCGCTCGCGATAAGCATTACTAACAGGTATTGATAAAAAGAAAGAAATTAGTTTCTTTAAATTTACAGTCATTATTCTTTTCGTTTCTAAAAAGGAGCGCCCAAATATTATCGATGAGTTCCTTTGGCAGTGCATTATATACTTCTCAAACAAACGTAATCTGAATATAGTTTATCTTCATCTATAGCATCTGAAATGTGTAGAACTGTAGGCAATTCAGACAGCCCTTTCCATGTTAATTATAAATCTGTCAGTTTAACAGGTTCGCTGGGTTACCTGATATTTGCGTTTTGCAATGGGAGCGATACGGGTCTATAGAATCCCGTACTCGTGCTTGTCATCCAGCAATATGGGTTACATAATGTCCCGTACCTGTTGAATTAAAAAGTAGCCTCTATTAGGGCCATCTGTCAGTCAATGGCAAAATTAGTTCTAGAATTCTATACACAAACATTTGTTTGCTATTCAGCTGTAATAGCCTGGGATATATTTAACCAATATTGCCAGGACAGGAACAATAAAAACGTAAATAATCTGCACACAAATATATTTGTAAAATACCTTTATTTTTATTACTATTATGATAATGATAATACTTATTATGGAAAATAAATGGAGGGTTAAACAGAATATACACGTACATGAAAATAATTATTCATTTCTTTTACTTTCGTGGCTTACATCGAAGCAGCCTAAACAATATGCGGGTTTTCCATCGCATTCTTTGCAATATGTGGTTATTTTCTTGACTTTATTGTTAGCTTCTCTATTACTTATTGTTTGCCGTATTATTTTATAGCAACCGGTACACTTACACCTCTTGTTTTCCGGCCCAACTTCTGTTAGATATGAATCCTTTTCTAATGGATCTAATCTTGGTCGAGGCGGGACAAATGAGGCTTCTCTAAAATATAAAATAGCCATTTTATTTTTATTAGTTGAAAACTTCATGTTATATAAAATCCATGCATTCGTTAATACACCTCCAAATATAATTTCCATGGCAACCTTACGATACCATTTTTTCCCCTTCCTCAAGACGGTTTAGTAGCGAGTCATTTGATCGCTAAAAATAATTAATAAGAAGCAAAATACATACAATGGACAATATAATTACCTATAATCTACTCCTTTTTTTTGCCTGGTTGTAGTCAATTATACATTGTGGTTTTTTGTCAGGCTCGCCATTTTTAATTTTTCCTGTTTCGACAAGGGCATCATAGTGTTTTTCACAAGTAGTATCATTAGTACCGGTCTCTTATCAACCCATTTTATTATTTTTATGCATATTATCATTTTTTGTTTATCCAATAACTTGTCCGTTTTTGATTTTTAACTGACTGTTTGTTCGGATAGTCCTTTTCTGCAAATATGTCCCTTTTCAAATAGGCAACTAACTTATAAGCAAGCCTCTGGAGCACATTATGCTTCTCAACTTCCAATTGCAATCAGTATTACTCAAATGAGTTCATTTTGTTGAAGCTTAAACTAGCTAGTTAATGGTACTCTCGAGCATGCTCATTCATACTTAGTTGTGCACAACAAATCATTCTTATACTCGCGTAGTTGTTCAGTCCGGACCATCTGTCATGATCACCCAGGGTTTCAGGTTATCCACGTCGGTCACCGAAACAGATTTCTTGGTGCCTCTTAGGTCCTCTATAACATCTATCGTTTGGGAGAACCTTTCCAACGCGAAAAGTCCCTTTATATAACGGATCCAGCTTACGACTTGACTCCTCAACACTATTTTGTTTGGGCTTGCATATTTTTCCATCGAAAGATTTCTTTTGCTTTTGTTGCTTGTCTGTTACGTTTCCGCTCGAAGAGTTTCTAAATCGGCACGACCGAACGTATCAGACACGGCGTTTATAATTTAAGCGTCAGCCCAATGTTTTAAATTTATCCCCATCAATATTTCATAGGTTGATTTTCCTGTGGTTTTATTCTTCAGTTGTACCTCTGTAAGTAGAAGGTCCAACTGCTGCTGCATCGTCAAAGGTATCACTCCTAATCCCGTCTAAATTTGTCGCAATTTCACTCATTGTAAACAGGCGTTGTGTACACACTGTAAAAACCACCTGAACTTGAACACTCACGCTCGAAAGTAATTGGGGATGTACTCGGCATCGATCCATATATCTCTTCTAAGTTTGATAGTTCCATTGATTGCATTTAGAACCGCTTTTTGTACATGCTCGTCATTAACCGTAGCTTCCCGCATTTTTTTTGTATGTTCTATCTGTAAATAAGGAATTATAATTAGTGTTACATTTAACTATACGAAGAGGAGCACATTTGAACATAGCATTCAACTTGGGGCATTTATCTAGGCGGGACATATTTGAACATACAAACCTGCCCCCTTTGTTTTGATCAAATCTGCCCCTTGGAAATTCGAGAGATAAATATTTTATTACAAACAAAAACATATGAAACAACCGGCAAGCAAAAACTACCATGCGAATGAAAAACTAATAAGAACTAAATATGTTGGGGCCCAAATAGCCCAAGTTGATTATATGCTTAAAAGAATAAAAAAAATATATCACCAAAATTTGATGCAATTGATTTTCTTTCTTGTCAAGAGTAATAGGGAAGGAAAAAATGGAATGCGTTCGATAAATTGCTATTTGTGGTTCACTTAAAGAATTAATCACACAAAGTTATTAATTTTAATATAGCGAAATATTTAATAAATGCTACGGGTGCGAGAACTGAACTACCTACTATTATTTTATACAGGCCGATTCAGTCATAATGTCATTAATTTCAAACACGTATTTGGAAGGCCTAATGAAGACAGAATATCGAAAATTATTGACCAAGTCGAACACCATTTGTACCACCAGATTGCATCTTATAGATTATTCTCTGAAACAACGCCGATGAATGAAGGGCAGCCGCAAATACTCGTAATGTCTGTTCGGTGTTATAAATGCCGTTTTGTCTAGCGAATGCGAATGCATGGGAACTCCTAGTAACGCCTGTACTTTATCCCTTCCGTATTAGATCTCTTTCCTACTGATCTTGTGTCCCAAGTATTCAGTGTTACTTTGTAGGAAAGAGTATTTAGCCATCTTGAACTTCACGACCACCTACCATCAAGTCGTCAATGCGTATCACCATATTGCATCTTGTAGATGACTTTCTGGAACAACGCCGATGAATTAGAGAAGCCGAAAGGCATCCGCAGATACTCGTAATATTCGTCCGCTGTTATACTGCCGTTTTGTCTACCGAATCTAAATACATGGGAACTTTGGGAAACCTTGCGCTGTCAATTTGTGCTAAAAACGTTCTTATTTGCCAACATATCAAATTGATCAGATATCAGAGGAAGCGGACACCTATCTTTTACCATAATAGTATTTAATGCCCTGCACTCAATGCACATTTTAATCTCGCCAAAAAGAACACGACGTTAAATATATCGATGGTGTCCTGACAATATCTCCTATCTGAAAATTTGTCATTTTACAGGTTATCAAGAAAAAACACATAGGAGATATTAGTATTGATTTTATTTGAGATAGGTGGTTTTGTTAGGTTAGGCTAATTTTCTAAGTGTGTCCCCAGGAAGATTCGAGTTAGATAGGTGGAATTACTCTATAATAACTATCAAGTTTAAAAGTTATAATTTTATTACAAATATTAGAAAGTAAATAAACAAAATAAAAATATATATTCTGCTTACACATAAACATAAAATCAAACAAAATTCCTTTAAATATAAATAAACTTCAGTCTTTTTCATTTTTTGGTAAATTATCATAGAACGTATGGCAGTCTTCCGGAATTACTGACTTTAATTCTTGTAGGTGTTTCCACTTTGAGTAAGACAGTTTTAATATTGATTTATGCAATTGTGGGTAACTGCAATCACTGACAGTAATACTTTTCGGTCTTATGGGCAACTCTCGCCATTCGTCATCAAAATCAAGCTTATATCGAATAATACCGTCGGGACTGTATGACAAGGCTTTTATGTCGGTTACAGTTGGATCGTTCTTGCATCGTCCTGGCCTAATCGAGTGATATCTCATGCCTTTCTTTTTCGCAAAGTTTTTAAAAAAAGGACGTTTCAATACTCAAGTTTCATATGGCATCGGCTTTTTTCGTGCTTCCATAGTGGCTCTAACATAATCAGCTGGTAAATATATATCTTTGCTTTTGAGTTTTCGTTCTATTAGAGCGTGGACACTGTCGCATTCCATTTGTGTGTGCCCACGCTCTAAAAATTTTTGAAAGATCTCTACGTCATGTTTCATAGAAAAATTTAATAAAGCATTTGCGAGAATGTTATTCCTATTTTGATAGGTACATCCGTCTGAATATATTACAATTGGTACCTTTTTACTGACGCAGTATTTTTCTAGATGCTCTAGTATGATGGAAGTGAAAGTAGAAGCTTGAAGATCCGAATCGACTTCCGTGAACCAATAACAAACTACTTCATGAGACTCCAAGTTATACACGGTAAAATTGTAACAGCATAGTTTGGTTTTAAAAAAAATTGCGCTAGCATTTACATTTGGACTCACTTTAACAGCCTGAAGATCCATCGTTAAAGTAATGCAGATATTTTCTTGGGCATGAATTTTATCTATTTCTTTTTCATCACGAGCCCTATCTTTTTTACCTATGTGTAAACTCCACTCTTCAGGGGATACGTTGCCAACATTATACGCAGCACACGTGTCACATTGATCTTTCTTTTTTTGATTAATAGAAATATTTTTTTCTTGCAGCTTCTTAGTGAAAACCTGTCTGGATAAAGGTGTTCGATCCTGTTCTTGGCAGTAGCTTCTGTAATGATTTAGAAGATCCTGCATTGATACAAAAATTGGTTCTAAGTACAACTTGGAAGTATCTTTTCTTGAGTAATGGGAAGGTAATTTTGGTAGTTTGTCTATAAATGTATTTAAAAATCTAGGTCATAAGTTTTGGCAGATAATGGCAGTTTTCTTTTAGAACGGGCAATTTCTTGTAGAGGAATAATGTTGTAAGTGCTCTGGTTCACCCAGGATTGGACGGTAAAAGGTCTTAGCCCTAATGTATTAAGAAACATAGTGCAACAGACTACTTTTTTTGTCATAACCTTTCATGGGCAAAGTGTAGACAAATGTACCTTCACACCTAGAATTTCCTTCAGTGGTTTTACGTTTGGGGTTAACTCGTGACACATGTGATGCTACAAAATTTTTTTTTGATCCCAACTCGTCTCAGACCAGAAATGATCAAAAAGTTCTCTTCGATGAGTTTCGGAAAAATCTGAACAGAATCTATTTTTAGAACGAGCACAATTTCTAGATTGGCAAGTAGGGCCTAATTTCCGAGGTTCTCTTATCGTATTGTGGTGCACAGTACCATCTCTTCGAGTATATCCCAGATATTGCTTTCCTTCCATGCGAAGTTTTTTATTAGCGTTTTTTTTCCAGGTGTCGGAATTTGTTAGCTTTCTTCTTTTCCGTTGATTTTCTCCATCTTCTGAGTCAGTTTCGATATGGTTATCTAGAATTTGACTTTCTTCTTGTTCAGCAGATTGTAAAATAAAGGTGGCGCTTTTTTCGTATTCTTCTGCTGCAGTTTCATTTAAGTTTGATACATCATTCAAACCATCATGGTCCGTTATTGCATTAGTTGAAAATTGTATAGCTACATCTGGGGATTCAGAACTTTCTATTCCGGTTTCATTTTGGTTCGTTGTGTTATTAAACAAAGTATCATCGACCAGTGGATCAGTGTCAAAATCTGTAAGTGGGTTGTCACTAGACTTGGATTGGTTTTCGTAATCTGTAGTTGTTAATGGAGTTAACGAAATATTTTGCAAAATTGTTATTTTAGGGTGCTCTATGGTTGGTATAACACTGCAGAAATTAACTGACCCATCGTTTTTTACAGTCGTTGGGTGACTATACATCATGTCTTGTGATAAGGTGTTAATATCAACATCATTTTCCAGATTATTGAAAACATTGTTCTCATCAAAAATTATTGGAAGTTCTTCTATATTAATGTTACTAGTCTCTTCAAAAATATTCTGCTCTTGTGAAACACTACTCAAGGCGAGATTGAGAATTATTTTTGATCTATCAGACATTGTAGGTATACATGGATTTTACCTGTAACCAAATTTATAATGAGATTATACTTTTAAAATAGGTACCGTAATCACGTGGAGTTTCGCACGTTTAGCAAAAACAAATTTAGAAAAGAGGCAGTCTGATTATGTTATATAACTTTATGAACATATAAAATGTTACTAATTAAATTCTAATAAGCTTACAACAAAACAAATACAACTAGTTTTATGCTTCATATTATGTTGTTGATTAGAATATTAGACTTATACTAAGTAAAAACTACTGTTTTATTAAAACAACTCACCTGCCATGAAACCTCTTATGCTGTTATAAGGCGCGCTTGTAGATAGGAGATATTTTTTAAGGTTATGTAGGCAATTCAGTTAGGAGATATTACTTTACACAATTTGAATACTAATACTGTAATGCTGCAGTTGGGTGGAGTTCCTGGCTTACGTATAACGATGCATTTGTTTATTTGGCGCTAAATTTGAAATTTCAGAAAATTTGCAGATAGATATTGTCAGGACACCATCGATATGTAATTGGACATTTAAACATGAACTATTTATAATTTTAGTAGATAAAATATTATTTAACGACTACAAAATATTATCACTTACATAAATAGCTATTTATAGATATGTTTTCTATTTTGCAGCGCCACGTCAGTACCCTGCACGGACGTCTTGTTAGAGGAAAGCAACGATGTGTGGGACATCCTCAGAGAAGAGAGCCACAATTTTTCAGAAGAAGAAGGCAACTCACACAGAAAGAGAAGTAGCTCATCTTTAGACTTTTTACCTGTTTCAACAGCTATGAAGATCCGGTGCGGGTCGTGCAGGAAAATCGTGAAAAGCGGCCCTAACTTCATGCACTCGAAGATCTTCTTTCGAGACACAGTCCTCGACAACACCTCCTATAAGTGCGAGACTTGTAAACGCGAAACCGTTGACTCGCTCTACTCGCCTAACCTAACCTATAACAATCGTTTTGAAGCGGTGAAGTTCAAATGTAGTATATGTATGTATGAGACAAAATACCGCAGTGCTCTCAAGTCTCATATGTTGAAACATAAAGACAGGTCGGAAGTTAAAATGTATAAATGCGACTACTGTAACTATGAAACCAGACACAAAACGGCATTGAAACCCCACATTTTGAAACACCAGGATCCATCGCAAGTTGAGATGTTCCACTGCGACTCCTGCGAATATCAGACAAGATACAAACCTGCTCTGAAGTCTCATCTGCTCAACCACAAAGACCCGTCGGAGATCAACATGCATTCTTGCGACATGTGCGATTACAACACAAGGTTCAAAAGTTCCCTCAACTCGCATATGCTCAAGCATATGGACCCGTCGGAGATTCAGATGTTTAAATGCGAGATCTGCACCTATGAGACTAAACATAAAACGTCGTTAAAGTCTCATATGCTTAACCATAAAGATCCGTCAGAGGTGAAGATGCATAAATGCGAAGAGTGTGACTACAACACTAAGTTTAAGAGTTCCTTGAAGTCACACATGCTAAAGCACAAAGATTCTTCTGAAATTCACATGTATAAGTGCGACTCCTGCGAATATGAGACTAGACATAAAAGCGCGTTGGCGTCTCACAGTTTAAACCACAAAGACAACTCTGAGGTGCCACTTTATCTGTGCAACTTGTGCCCTTACGAGACCAAGCGAAGGGCCAACTACAAATTGCACATCATGACCCATAAAGACCCCTCAGAAATCCAAATGTACACATGCGAGACATGCGGATACAGCACCAAGTACAAAAGCGTCCTCAAATCTCACAAATTAATTCACCAGGATCCGTCAGAAGTGGAAATGTACCGGTGCCACCTGTGCGACTACGAAACCAGACGGAGGCAAAATATAAAAATGCACGTTCTGACACATATGGACCCCTCCGAAATTCCCATGTACACGTGCGACCACTGCGAGTACAAAACCAAGTACAAGAGTGCTCTCAAGTCGCATCTTCTAAACCACAAAGATCCCTCCGAAATACAAATGTTCAACTGCGAGAGCTGCGAGTACAAAACAAAGTACAAGTTCTCGCTCAAATCGCACATGCTGAGTCACAAATCCGCCTCAGAAGTACCCACGTTCACTTGCGAGTTGTGCCCGTATGAGACCAAGCGTAAAGCGAACTACCACTCGCACATTTTAATCCACAAAGACCCGTCTGAGGTCAAAATGTTCGAGTGCGACACGTGCGAGTACAAGACAAGGTACAGAAGCGCGCTCAGCTCGCACTTGCTCAGTCACAAAGATCGAACCGAGACGCAGATGTACAACTGCGATGAATGTCCGTACGAGACCAAGTACAAAGGCGCGCTTAGGACACACAAACTGAACCACAAAGATTCTTCGGAACTGAAAACATACTCGTGCACTTTGTGCACGTACGAGACGAAACGTAAGATGAACTTCCATGCTCACAGTTTGAGCCATAAGGATCCGTCGGAGGTTCAGATGCACGCTTGTGACACTTGCGAGTACAAAACTAGGTACAAAAGCGCGCTTAAATCTCACGCCTTGGCCCACAAAGATCCCTCGGAGATTGAAATGTACAAGTGCGAGTTCTGTGAGTATCAATCCAGGTATAAGAGTGCGATTAAGACACACGTTGTGAACCACAAACAACCCTCGGAGATTCAGATGTTCAAGTGTGAAAGCTGCGAGTATCAAACTAGGCATAAAGGTTCGCTCAAAGCGCATTTGTTGAAGCATAAAAGTCCCTCGGAAGTACCTATGTTCACTTGCGAATGTTGCCCGTACGAGACCAAGCGTAAGACCAGCTTCAAGTCGCACATGTTGATGCATATGGACCCCTCGCAGATACAAATGCACGCTTGCGACAAATGCGAGTACAAAACGAAATATAAAAGTGCCCTTAACTCGCACGTTTTATCCCACAAGGACCCGTCGGAGATAAAGATGCATACTTGCGAGGTCTGCCAATACACCACAAAGTATAAAGGAGCGTTAAAGTCGCACATGCTTAACCACAAAGATGCGTCCGAGGTCACGGTGTACACCTGCGAGTTTTGTACGTACGAGACGAGGCGTAAGACTAACTTTCACATACATTCACTGTCCCACAAGCAACCGTCAGAGATACAAATGCACTCGTGCGACGTATGCGAGTACAAAACAAAATACAAGAGCGCTCTGAACTCGCACGCCTTGTCCCACAAAGACCCCTCGGAGATACAGATGTTCAAATGTCACACTTGCGAGTACGAGACGCGGTACAAAAGCGCCTTAAAATCACACGTAGCGAACCACAAACCCAACGAAGGGCAGTCGTACAAATGCGACGGTTGCGAGTTCGAAACCAACAACAAATCTACGTTAAAATCGCATATTATCACACATAAAGATCCGTTGGAGGTGGTTATCTACACTTGCGACTCTTGCAGCTACGAAACGAAGCGCAAAACTAACTACCAATCGCATTTGTTGATACACAAGGATCCGGCAGACGTTAAGATGTACCAGTGCGACGAGTGCGACTACGCGACGAAATACAAGAGCTCCTTGAAGTCGCACGTGTTGAACCACAAGGACCCATCGGAGATCGAGATGTTTAAATGCGACATGTGCAGCTACGAATCGAGATTTAAGAGTAGCCTCAAGTCACACATTCTCAACCACAAAGATCCCTCGGAAATAGACATGTTCAAGTGCGACGAGTGCGACTACGAGACGAAGTATAAGCGCGCGTTGTCTTCGCACAAACTGAACCACATGGACCCGTCGCAGATTCCCATGTTCAAGTGCGCGTCTTGCGACTACGAGACCAAGTATAAGAACGCGTTGAAGTTACACGTGGCGCACCACAAGGATCCGTCGGAAGTGGAGATGCATTCGTGCGAAAAGTGCGATTATAAATCGAAGTACAAGTCGTGTCTGAAGTCGCACATGGCGAAGCACGAGGAGCTTTCCGTCATTTGAGTCGCTTTTACGTACGGCGGAGCTGCAATGCGATTGGAGAGGTGGAAGCCGGAGATGAAAAACGCTTTTTGTCTCTTTGTTTCCAGCGGTTTACCGAGATGGAACTGAAGATTAGGAGGAATTATACCCACGGAAAGGGAAGAGTAGTTCTTACTTAAAGTGTAAAGAACTGAAATTTACTTGTATAGAGAAGAATATCGTTAATGTGTAAATAGTTGACGCTTAAATGCTTGTATTACATGGAGAATTACGGCAGAGGTGGGTGAAGTAGATCTAAAAAAAAAGAAATGTATCTGGAATGATAGGGACTGTACATTGATTTATGTAGGGTGTTAGGTAAATAACTTTCGTAGAAGTAACAGTTGATTCTTTGCATCATTTTGAAGAAATTTGGACATGTTAAAACTTCAATGGCGCCCAACTGTAACTCCGATCGTCACATTTCGAACTTCGAACGGAACTGTAAAATTTGATATTAATTTTGCAAATAAAGTGTATATGATATTAAAATAGCTGTTTGCAGCAAAAACGTCGGTTAATTGAAAATGAAAATCTTACCCAACGTGGTATTGTCAAAAATTGCAATAATAACACACACAAAAAAAGTCTACTTTTCATGCGACATATGTTATTTATAGTATTTTTGCCTCCTGATCACGAATCCAGTGTCAGAATTGAGCACATTACATGAATTTCCTAACCTCAAAAAACAGGTCAAAATAGCAAAATTTCACGAAAAAGTGCTAGGAAAAGTACAATTTTTTTTCTCTTCAAATGTTCATTTATATGGTTAAGATCTCGCCGAACGTGAATTCGCCGTCAGAATTGATGGTTCTTTTTCTAACATAAAAAAACGGGTAGGATATAACGAATTTTAAAAAAATAACAGATTTGAGCCAAATTTAGTATCCGGGGTTTTTCGGGGTCGCTGATCACGGATCCGAGGTGAGTTTTGCAAAATTCAAAATGTCGGATCCAAGATGGTCGACCAAAATTTCAAAAAATAATCCATTCGCGCTAAATTTGGTATACGGGGATTTTAGGGGTCGCTGATCATGGATTCGAGATCAATTTTGCAAAACTCAAGATGACGGATCAAAGACGGACGAACAATTTTTTTAAAAACATTTTTGTCAAATTCGGTATACGGGGGTTTTCGGAGTCGCTGATTACGGATCCGAGGTCAATTTTGCAAAATTCAAGATGGCGGATCCAATGTGGCCAACCAAATTTTAAAAGAATAACATTCGCGTCAAATTTAGTTGTATACGGGGGTTTTCGGGATCGCTGATTCGAGGTCAGAATTGCGAAATTTATTTTGTAAAACTTGTTTATTTTATAACTTGAGTACTTACCCAATCATATTTTAACCTTCTTAAAGTACATAGGTAACTGATTAAATTTTTAAAAACGAATTTTGTAAATCTGATATACCAAATTTGGCACGAATGTTATTTTTTGAAAATTGTTCGGTCATCATTGATCCGCCATCTTGAATTTTGCAAAGTTGACCTCGGAAGCGACCCCGAAAACCCCCGTATACCAAATTTGGCGCGAATCTGTTATTTTTTGTAAATTCGCGATATCTGACCTTAAATTGACCCGTTTTTTAGGTTAGGAAAACAACCATCAATTCTAACCGCGGAGGTCTTAACCATATAAATGAACATTTGAATAAAGAAAAAACCATTTGTTGTACTTTTTCTAGCACTTTTTCGTGAATTTTTGCTATTTTTGGCCTATTTTTTGAGGTTAGGAAATTCCTGTGATATGATAGCTCAATTCTGACACCGGATTCATGATGAAGAGGTAAAAATACTACAGGTAACATATGTCGCATGAAAAGTACATACAACTTTTTTTGTGTGTGGCTGTGTAATTAATAAGTAGCTTGCGTTTTCGGTCACACTAAATGACGTCACAATGCGTTCTTGTTGACGTAACAAAGTTTAAATTTTTACATACTTAACATCTCTAACTTAAATATAGCAAAAAGTTATATTTTTTACAAATATAGAAGACTACAAATTTATGTACTTCCAAAAGAAATTAAATTTTCGTACAAGTTTCCTATATTATTTACATCCAGTGATAAACTCTAGCTTGTCACACAATATTTTGGATATTTCTGGATGAATCTGATGTGTAAAATTTGTTCCACCACATGAGGTCCAATTTTTTGCTGCCGCCTACGTTCTTGAAATCTAGCAGGCGCATTTTCTGTATTCGGAAGCCTTTTGGGAAACCTATACACAAGTTTGTCGAACTGGAAACGGCTTTTCTGGGTAACTGCCAGCTCTCAACAAAAACTTTTAAAACCCACACAAAATTATACTTTATCAAAGTATGTTATACTGTGGATGATGCCGCATTGTTATTTATTTCATGCTTTAATTTTAATTTCAATAAATTGATTTTTTACAAATGTACCTGTACATTTTAATAAACATCATTAGATTTGAATATTGTAATGAAACTTTTTTCTTAAAATGATGCAAATCAACTGTTAAATCGATTAAAGTTATTTCAATTGCACGCCGTATTTTTTAACTGTTTTGAGTATGTAAGTAATGTATTTGTAGGGAGTACTCGGAAAAAGTAAACGTCCTTTTTATCTACTTAATTATTTTGCAACTCGATGGATAACCAACGGCAACTAATTTCATTTTAATTTCTTTGTATTGTAACAGTATTAGTTGTGCTCTATATAGCGTCACAGAAATTGTTGACCTCTTTTTTACTGTAAATTCTACATTGCATGCTATAGAAGTTTGCCGACTTTTGTACAAAGACTTAGGGACGATTCTACTGCATTAACCAAACTTGATTGAAATATCAAATACACTTAAATAGTAAATTCGGCATCAAGCATTTATTTACGCAAACTTAAAATGTATGAAATGGATTTAAGTTTTAAGTTGCTAATTTTGAGCTTTTAATGTCGTTAAAATTATGGAATACAGGTAGAACCTCGATAATCCGATCTCCCTGCCCCCAATCCGAACGACCTAAAACTGAATTTGACATTGAAATTCGGGAAATGTCAAGTAGGCAAGTCGGTGTACCAATACACGAGATTGCCGTGCAAACAAAATTGCACATATGCATACACATCTACAAGGTCTATTCAGAAAATAACCGAATTTTATTTTTGAAACTTTATTCTTTTTATACATTGTTGGTCCTTTTCTCCTTCACGCACTTTTTGCAGTGGTGTTTCCACTTCGCGAAGCAGTTCTGGATAGCTTCATTTGAGAAATGGCTTTTAAAATATATGACGAATTTGATCGGACATCATCAATAGTTTGAAAACTACGTCCTTTCATCACTGATTTTAATGTCGGAGAGAAGAAAAAATCGCAAGGAGGGTGAGGGAGGACAGTAATCTGATTTTTGGCATAAAACTTATCAACTGACAAAGCTTAATGTGCAGGCATTGTTAGCACAGAACGCATTAGGCGGTCGCGGAGTTCCTTCCCATGTTTTATAATGTATGCACTCCCACTAGACGATCCTGAGCTCGTCTCGCTCGCATCTCGTTCTCCTCCTATATTTTCCAAAGAATCTCTGGAGACCGCAATGCAATCGAGACGAGCTTCCTCTTCCATAGGACTTATTTTCTTAACTACTAAAACAATACCGCAACTATTTAAAGGAGAGCGCGAGCAGGATTGTGTGCAATTGCCAAATGCGACTGATTTTGTAAAAGACCGCGATCAGCTCAACTCAGCCCAGAACAGACCGCGATACGACGCGACCGCCTAATGCGTTCTCTGTTTTATGGTGCAAGAACCATGAGTTGCTCCGCATTAACTGGGTCTTTTTTTTGTGATTTTTTTTACGTAATTGTTGCAAAACGCATTGATAGTACATACGGTTCACTGTTTCACCTTGAGGCAAGAAATCAAAATACACAATTCTATTGTAGTCGAAAAAAAAACAGTGAACATCGCTTTGACATTGGATCGGGACTGACGTGCTTTCTTGGGTCATGGAAATCCATTGCAAATCTATTGTGGTGATTGAACTTTTGCCTCAATGTCGTAGCCGTAAACCGAGCTTTCGTTTCTCGTTATGATCCTTTGAATGAATGTTTCATCGTCATTGAATGGTTTAAGGAGTTGCCGACAAACATCCACATGATTTTCTTTCTGTTGTTCGAATCACAGGCCGACAAAATTTCAAAAAAAAATCCAGAGATCAGACTCTACGCTTCCGAAGGCATTTGGCGCGCTGAATCCGAATCTGGCCTCAGAATTGATCCATCACCCTAGGTTTTCGAGATATTCTAACCTAAAAGTGCAAAAAACACGTACTTTTGCTATATAGATTCAAGGTTATGTAACTTGGCGAAAAAATTTTTTTTCTCAAAACTGAAAACATCATTGGAAACGACTATCTTTCCCTTTCAAAACGCATTTTTTTATTTTGAAAAAGCTCAATTTTTCGCGGAGATATCGTCAATTTAAGATGACCAGTATGGCTATATTATTACATCATGGCTAACCCCATAACACTGAGCGCTGCTAGCCCTAATTGTTAGGAACGTTAACCCCAAGCCCTATAACCCCACAACACTAAGCGCTGTGAGCTCTAATAGCCCTATATGTCTGGAAGGTTAATCCCAAACCCTATAACCCCACAACACTAAGCGCTGTGAGCTCTAATCGTCAGGAAGGTTAACTTCAAGCTCTATTACCCATTAACACTAAGCGCTGCGAGCCCTCATCGCCAGAAAGGTTAACCCCAAGCCCTGTAACCCCACAACACTAAGCTCTATGCGTCTCAAATTGATAGCAGGTTAACTTTTTCCAACCCCAATCATCAAGTATACCGTTAGTGCGCAGCAATCCTTGAGACACACGAGAGATTTTCATAATTTTTCAGTTTATTGCTTCGGCTTTTTGTGGAATTGTTCTCGTTTTTCCTCAAATGATCTTTTAAGAGATTTTTGTCTATGTTCGGTGCTGGAGTCATGTCTCTGTAACGACCAGCAGTAATCCGCCATCATTCGTTCATTCCATCTACCTTGGTAATGTTTCTCTTTTTGTTTGATGTCTTGATGGAATCTTTCGCCCATTTCTTCGCTAAATGCACCGACATTTTCAGGGAAATAGTCAAAATGGGAAAACAAAAAGTGCAGCTTTAAGCTCATTAAATACTTTAATTCCTGGAAATTCTTTAACATGGTAGAGACAATTGTTTTATACTTGGGATCTCGGTTGTTACTTAAAAATTTCTCTCGTTACATTTTTGAAGCTTGTCCAAGTTTTTTTTTCAACGGCTGTCGTAGTAGATACAAATTCATCATCTTTCATTAGCATACGAATATCAGGCCCTACCTTCTTTGATCTTTGCATCAGACAAATTTGGAAATTTATTCTGAAAAAAATATCCGAAACATTCGCCTTCTTTATCCAAAGTTTTCGTAAATTGTTTCATCAAGCCAAGCTTGATGTGTAATGGTGGCAACAAGTTTTTTTTTTATATCAACAAGGCTTTTATATTTAACGTTATTCGAACCAATTTCCATATTCTTTCTTTCAG